AAGAAACAGGTAGAGGCCTGGCCCGAAAGCCATTTAACTCCAGCTGAGGGTGTAACATCGTTAAAAAGCAGTTTAAACGACAAACCATTATGACTTCTAAGGAGTGGGCACCGAGGGAGAATAATTGGCAAACTCATTTTTGGTTTGAGCGCGATATCCTAGCTGCCACTTAAAGTTTGTTGCTTTATAGGCTTATTGGCTATAACATATTAGCATAGAATTATGGAGAGTTAAAAGACCACTTAAATGGAAGGCAAAAGATATACATTGTATCTCATCGCCTATGCTGATGACAGCTTTGCCAGCTCAAGTCTTAATATTAAAGTGCTTTTATATAGACAATTTGTTTTCTATCAGCAAACATCACACATAACACGCACCACCACACGCAAACAGCACTACACTCCCAAGTTTGTTGATCGTACACATTACACCCTATAAATCACGCACCACCTGATGTCAGCCCCCTGAGATCTAGCACACAAATATATGACTAAAACGTGCAGATGCTAGTGAAAAACTTACCATTGTAAATTTGAAAACTTACATGAATTTGATAAAAACGTAGTCATTTACACACTCACACGAATAATATTATAACTACTCTCAATCCGACAGAAAGGCAAATATAAACTCCACAAAATACTTTTGTTAGTCTCTTCCCACGATCTTGATCATACAAAGCGAGCCTAGACTATGGTTTTGCCGACACGGCGAAACATATATCTCTGAATTTCACCCAGTATTGTATGTAACAACCTACTTTTAGCACCAGCTGGCAAAGTGATGGCAGCAATATTCGGACCCTACAAAGGTACATCACCCCTCGTTTACACTGACATGCTCCAAATTTTTATCTAGGTTGGCGTCTTCAATTAAGGAGAGGATTTTACAGAGATAGTTTCTAACCATGGAAAGCTGGTTTCCACCAGATACATCCCGTAATCAAGAAGGCTGTCATGTTTACCTCGCATATCATCTGTAAAATGAAACTCACCATTAGTCTTTCCAGATGTGTCCATACAGTCACCACCTTCTGGTTTGTGGGGCCGAAAATAAATCCTTAATTCACCGACGTATGATGGATACCGACACAGCCAGACCGGAGAAGTAAGTCAAAGCACACAGAGAGGCTGAGATAACAACACAGGCAAAGGGATGAATCATTCTCTGCACAGGACACCGTGACTCTGTTTGCTGCTCTCATATTGTTTTAAATCTCGTATATATAACCATGTAGTAACAATTTATGAAAACACATGAGCACATCATACTGGAAGTCATTGCTGATTAGTTTAGTTTGCATGTTATGCATGGCTCTGAAAGATCTGCTTCATTTCTTTAATGTAAGCCTTTGTTTTGACTGTTCTGTATTCATCTTGTTATTCTGTTACTGTGGGCCCTTTATGAAAAAAATCCTATAATTCATATGAAGTTTTCTTTTGTTTGTTTGTCCTGCTGAGTGGGAATTTAAAAACATCAAAAGACATCAGTTAACTCAGTAGTGCACTTACAGTGAACCTGAACTTGACAGTTGAAAGCAATACTGCATAATAATGTGTGTACTGTATACAGGCTGCAGCTTCAGATTACTCTAGAAAGGCTCTGAAATGGGGGGGCACATGAAAATTAGAGAGGGTATTAAAGAGGGTACTGTAACCTTGGAAACCAGATATAATAGTGACAGGAGCTCTGAACAGCATCAGCAGTCAAAGAGAGAGAGTCTGAAGACTTAGAAGTTCGTCTGCTCATGATAGCGCAGATACCACCGGCTCTAACGCGCTCAGCAAACTGAGCCCCCGAACCATTTAGAGAGAGTTGACCGTGAGATATGCTAGCATGGGTAGACAAACAAAAAGCAGTGAACCGGAAAAGGAAATGGTGTAGCTTTTCCACAAGTCAACACAGGCAATCGTGAGATTTAAGATTAGCTGTAGCTGCTCATGCAGTCGGTGCTGCTAATTCCACCAGCCTGTGCACCCTGCACAAGCCCAGTTTGTCTTTCCACAAAGAAGTGTTTTGAACCTTAAAAAAAGAAGATGAAATTTGAATCCGCAGCAAGTATACCTTCACTTTTTTGCCGTTTCCCACAAGGGACTTTCTGCTGTGTGTGCTGTGATCTGACCGTCCTCTCTCTTGCAGGGGTCCATCATTAGCAGTCCTCACATGCGGCGGAGAACCCCCCCCAGCCGAGACTGCCCATCCCGTCACAGCGGCCAGTCCCTGCCCAACTCCTCTTCACTGCTCGGATCTCTGTTTGGCACCAGGCGGGTGAAGTCCCCCAGCCCCACCCCGCAGGCCCTGCACCCCACCCTCATCTCCCACACCCCTCACCCGGCCAACCTGCACCACACGGCCCGGGTGGAGACAGACACGCCAGGCTCCATGCACCACGCCCAGTTCTGCCACGTGACCCAGAACCCCCCGCCTTACCACCACCACCACCACTACCACCC